CTTCAACACACCACTTTCGGTGAAGGACAGAACACCCAGAAAGAAGCTCAACTAAGACACGGAAGAGCTAAATGCTACAATCAACCAACTTGATCTCTCAGACGTATACCGAACACTCCACCCAACAGCAGCCAAGTATACTTTCTTTTCCAATGCACATGGTACATTCTCCAGAATACACCACATATTAGGCCATAAAGCAAGCCTTAACAAAATCCAAAGCATCGAAATATGTATTATAAAGCATCTTTTCTGACCATAAAGCCATAAAAGTAGAAATCAACAACAGAAAAAACAAGGAAAAAAAAAACAAACACTTGGAAACTAAAATAACAGTTAAATGTGATTCTGAAATTAATGAATTCAATATGTGCATATTATCAAAGAAAAAATTTTATAAGCCTAGATTTTATTCTTGTCTTTCAAAATGAAAATTAAGCTGCCAAAATACCAAATCATCGCCAACAGTTAAAAAAAGAAAAATACCTGCTTTTTCTGAAGTCCTAAGAAATACCATGTCTGATGGAATTCTTTGATTCTGCAAAAAATATAAAATATATATTAACACAATTCCATTCCAAAGTAGAAAGAGCTAGTAACAGCAATTAAGGTAATAATTAAATTTTATGCTGAAGTAATTAGCATGTACCATCTGTAAATCAAAAATTATCATTTTAATTCGTATTTTAGTTGTACCTCTAAGATTTTTCCCCATTAGAGAACCATATAAATGGCATTTACTGATAACTTAAAAAGTGCTTCATTCAGAAATATGTTAAATGCTGCCATTTCTGTGCCTCTGTTGTACCTTGACACATACGTATAATACAGCAGCTACTGCCCTATAAGAAAACGTCTCCGTATTAGACTAAATGACCCAGTAAAGTAAGGCTAGTGTTCTCTGCTTTCTTAAGCCATGGAATGCCTACCATAATATAGAGAACGCACATCATAAACTAAACACTTAGCAACTGCTGAATAAATGAATAAATGTACCACTGAACAAACAAACAAAACACAAATATGAGGAGGTACCCTGTTATGAGGCAAAACGGAAAAATCATTATTACTAAAAGTTCTATCAATTGGGAAAACTGTTTCAACCTATAGAAAAGACGCATAATTTAACACTGCTTCATACTGATTTCATGAAATATGTACACTTTTTGAGATGTAAGTAAAGGTTTATATATACATGATGAAAACATGGATTACTTGTTAGTCGACAATATAAACACGCTAAGTTATTAAGCCTGAAAAAAGATACGTTGTAGGATAAAGCTATCTTCTACCATAAAGTAAGAATGGCCAGTTAGGACCTAAAGGACTCTTGGGTCAAGCAAAAAAATCACAATGAAAACTTGAAAATATTTTAAACTGAATGGTAATAAAAACTCAAAATACCAAAATCTGTGGAACATAGCCAAAGTCATGCTAAGAGAGAAATATACAGCTTTAAAGGCATACACTAGGTAATCTGCTATTTCTTTCTGCCTGTTGCAACATTTTTCCTGTCTTTGTCTTGGCATGGCTTTCTTCAGGTTTATTAAGCCAAGGTTAATTCAGCTTGTTGTTATCTGTATGTTTCTTTATTTGGTCAAATTTCAGATTTCAGCCACTATTTCTTCAAATATTTTTTCAGCACCAATCAGTTATTTTTGTTGAGAGAATCCACAAAATCACTGGGAAAAAACAAAATTGCAGGTGTAAAGTTTTAGTGGTTGCCCTGCAGATTTGGCCATGTCTCGCCAGCTTTGCATCCACTGAGTTCATGGCATATTTCTTACACGTAAATATGAGAAGTGTATGGGGGTGTGCAGTTGAACTGAGAATACTGCCTTTCCCCATTGCAGTGCTGCTGGAGGCACTTCACAGCTGGCACACTTAGCCTGCCAACTAACAGCTAAAACCCAACTGGTGTTCTGAAGCTGCCCAAGAACTTCAGAACTACTCTAAATAAATTCAATCCTAGGACCACCAATGAGATTTAGGTAATCTCCAGGACAGCTCTTAGCCTATGTGATAATAAGATTTGTTTCTGACTTGTCTCCTATAAGTGTAGATGTTATCTTTGCCCTCATACATCAAAATTATGCCTTAATCACCTTGAAACTGAATCCAGAGACTACAAATTCTTAAGGCAGAACCTGTACACTGAAAATGTTTTTTTGTTTTATCAGGGACTCATATTTGGGAATACTGAGACCTGTCACATGACCCAGAGACTGAGCAGGTCTCTCCCAATCACCAAAGAAGGCCACTGGCTTCCTAACCACCACTGAGATCACCAACCAAGATAAAGCGCCAGGATGTGCCTCTGTCAGAATTCGACACAAAAGTTCTGAAATGTCACCTATCATACCACTTTGAAGGCTAAAATACCAGTCTTTCACCTGAGATATGTGTGGGAACTGGAATGTTCGAGAAGTTTACATTAAAAGTTTACATTAAAAAGGAAAAAAAAAAAAAAGCCAAAAGCAAAACAAATAAATATCTACCCTCAATGAAAAACCTTCCTAAATGTTTTAACCTTTCAAAAACGGGTACTTCCTGTTATACTTAAGTAGAAAGTGAAAGGGGTCACTGCCCTATGTCTCTGAATTACTGCCCTGTGTCTCTGAATTACTGTGCTAAGTTGTCATGGAAATGTGGTCGTGAAACCAAGGTTTACACTATATCCTAAGCCAATATATTTCAAACTGTGGATCACTTTCCCAAAAGAAGGACAGTGAAATCAATGTAGTTGGCTGCAACTGATTTTTTTTACATTAAAAAGGATAAAGTAGGATAGGATAGGCCATGTATATACTTTATTTTATCCTCTCTCTGAGATTAATCGTATCAATTATGTCGTGTACTTTTACTTTTTATTTGAGAATTCTAGCAACATTTAGCACTAACAAGAAAAGTTACTTATTCCTCCTTTATTTATAAGGCCATATTTCTAGTTAGAAATTCATATTTATGAGAGAGAGAGCTCGATTTATGGAACTTTTGTTTTAGCTGCATATATCTGCATGTACTGGCTCCTGATATAAAATGTAGTTCTTATTGTGCAATTTTAAAAGTTTAAATGCCACTGCCTTAGGCTGCACTAAAAAGAGAGAACAGGTAATAATAATAATAAGGAAAACCACTGTTCGTAATGTAACAGGAATACTTATAAAATGTTATATCAGTTGTAGCCTTAATAGGATGCACCACTCAACTTTCTCATCTCACTTCTAAATAAGGCAGAAACATTACATGCTTAGAAACCAATTGAGATGGAAAGGAAATGCTGGAAACAAGAGTTAAGGGATCTTATACAGAACTACATTTTAGAAAAAGTATTGCCAAGGATACAGCATAAAGGAAAGCAGTAGAAGCAGAACATTACATGAGGTGTACTTAATTCTCTTCTGCCTACTTCTATTTCCGTACCTTCATTTTAAACTTTAGGCCTATTCTTTTCTGATGGCTCTTATTAAATCGCATTATCTCAGAAAAATAAGATAAAGAAAATGTTCTTCCTTCCCCTAGCTACAGGAAAAGCAGACTTCTTCATGAAGCTAGTTCTGATCAAGTACTGAATTGAGAGCATTCACAACAGGGCCAATCTTCAGCTCCTACATGTCAATGTCCAGTGAAGACACTCAATGAAAATGTATCATCCTGTTCTGTTTTCGGTTCTGAGTTCTCTTTTAAAGCACTAGAACTTCAGAGATTGGTGCTATATCCTGTAAAATATAACCTTCACCTTCTAAAAGTCTCTAAGTTGACATGTTTGTCCGAAAGTTTAAACACTTTTAAGGTTTCTCTGTTACGCCAGAAGAGGATCTTTAGAATTACTTCTCCCTACAAGCACAAAGGTATAATATAACCCTTGACATCAAATGAATTTTTATTGGAACTAATAGTTTGAGAGGCCTTATCTCATTTAAATTAACACCTAGAATAATCTAGAATATTGCGATATTATGCAAGTAACTGTATGTTATATGGTTTACATCACTTAATGCTTACTTTTTAACAAAAGCTTCTGTGGAAAAACTGAAAAATAATGAACTGTTATGAACAGTTAACTCTAAAAAGTCAAGTCCTTAATATTGGGTCTAAACCAGAAAAGCTGAAAATCAAGGTTTTCCAACTGAGACACACTTACTGAAAATATATTAAGCACGTAGAAGTTAATTAACCTAAAGGAAGTAGATCTAAGAATAATTTTATTGCTCAACACTAGTATCAAACATTAAATACATATAAGTAACAGACACATAAGGAAATAGACTTCATGATTCGTTGCAGTATTCATTTATTCAATAAAATATTTGAGTACTCATACTATCTCAGGCTACAAAATTAAAATTAAAAAAAAAAAGTCTCATTAAAAAACCTGAATAATTAGTAAGAATTAGCAAACAGTTAACGAGTTCACATCACTCCCTTGCTTAAAATCTCATATACAGGCTTGCCGACTCAGAAGATAAAATCTCAGGATGAGACTCTTTAATATGCTAAGCATAACATATAAAAGCCTGCAATTATCTAGGAAGCCATTACCCTAAACAGTCTTCGAAATACCAACTCTACTCCGGCCACGTAAGACAGTTTCGAATTCCCTAAATGAGTCACACTTTGTACTGCTACCAACACCTTCTCCTGAAATGATGTTTTCAGGTGAAAACATCCTTTTACCTTAAATGACCTCCTTCTCCTTTTTAATTTATTATGTCATATTTAAAATGTAACAAAAGGTACACAAAATAACACAAACACCAAAACACCAAACATAGAGCTTATGATATAAAACACCAAGAGAGCAATGGCCCCTCACATACCCCCACCCCGTCCCAGAGTAACTCCTAGTCTAAATCTCACGTTCATTTCCTTGCGTATCTTCAGTTGTATTGTACGTGCACTCATTGCTAATGATACTGCTTTGCATACCTGAAGTTTCATATAAACACTATTATACTGTGAACATCCTTCTGCAACTAACCAACTCTCTTCCATGAATCTGAGTCCTTCAGGTTTTTCCACATTGAGGAATACAGCTTAGTTTGTTTCAGTCACTATTTAGTACTTCGATGTCAGATTTTTTTCCTAGTTTACTTAACTGTTATCTGTTGATGAATATTTTGATCATTTCTAATTTTTCACTACTACAAACAATGCTGCAAAGAACCTCCTGCAAAGTGTGGGAGAGAGCCTCTAGAACAGTGTTGGCAGGCTCCTGTAACACGTAACATTTTGCAGGCCACACAGTCTCCGCCACACATGGTCTCTGTCACATACTCTTCTTTCTTTGCTTGTTTAACAATCATCCTAGGCTCACAGACCCACATGAAAATGGGCCACAGGATATATTTGGACCACGGGCCATAGTTTGCCAACCACTCTCTAGACTGTATTCTATTAAGTGAACTTGTGAAGTCAAATGGTGCGTATACGACTGAAGCATTTCTGGAAATTGCCACTTGCTTTCCATTCCCACAGACAAAGGGTGCGTGACATCCCCCTGGTAGCATCCTCTATGGGGTGAAATGGTTTCGCACTGATTCAGCTTGTGTTCCCCCTGATGACTGGGTGGGGAGCCACCTTCCACTGGGGCTGGCGTTCAGGTTCCCTCTTTCGCAAAGGGGCCATCCATATCCTCTGTCCACTTTTCTTACCGAGTTACAAAGCTCTGACATATTCTGGACGCTTATCACGTGTAAGTTGCATGCACTTCTAGTGTATTCTTTCAGTCTGTGACTGTCTTTTCACTTTCAGATCTCTATTAAAGTACAGAGGTTTTTATCTGAATAGAAATCAAATACAATTATCTTCTTCATGGTTTGGGGTCCAAAGTCATGTTTAAAACATGCCTCGCTATGCCAAAGTTTATAAAGATATTCTCTAACATTTTCTCCGAAATCTTAGATTTTGCATTTTTACGTTTAGGTCATTGCACAGGAATGAGTTTTGTGCGTGGTGTCCATATGATGAATACATGGTCCGAGCAGCAATGGTGCAGACATTCCTCACTGATATGGAAGGCCAGCTCTATCATCACTTCCTATTCCTAAGAGACCACTCTGACTACTCTCTAGGAAAGCAATCACAGGAAGACAAGATGGAAGCAGGGAGAGAGCCAGGAAGCTCCTGCAGGGCCCTGGAGAAGCTGAGTCACATCCTCCAAACAAACCCCTAGGGTCGTTGAAGAACAACCACTGACGGCCCCTCCTACTAATTTTAGTCGTGGTCTAGGTCATCAGCATGTAGTTTTAACCACTCGGTATTTTTTATATGGTACGTCATTTCCCAGTGTGAGTCTAGGCAACTGAAGGGCTGATGGCATGCTGCGCTTCAGTGTATGGCAGAGTGCTGAGCAGGTGGTAACTACCTCATGCCTGCCAATCTCCTCATCAGTGGACGCAACTTTCAATTTGGCAGTTCTGCCCACCAGTGTACAAGTATATGCAAGGAGATGTTTCTTTAGGACAGGGGTGAAGCTGAGAAGCAGTTCAGACCCAGATCCATCCACCTTGAAACCCACTTGCACTCGTTCCACCACTCCATGTTTTGCTCATCTCCTTTACGTTCTAGAACCATCCACATCTAGAGCATGCTACAAAGCTGATGAGCATTTTTCCTTTAAGTAGCCATAAAATGGTTTTCTTCTAAATATCCATAAAGTGGATATCAATGTACTAACTTAATTCCATGTTAAAACATAGAATTAAAAAAAGTATCTGACAACATAAAGTCCACCACCATGAAAATATTCAAACATGAATGTCTAACTAGAAATATGGTTTTACAAATAAAGGAGAAATAACTTTTTTTGTCAGGCTAAAGATACACAGAATTCTCAAATAAAAAGTAAAAGGAGAAAGCCATTTGCTATAAAATCTTTGTTATTTCCTTATAAGGGTTAGGTAAATTGGTAAGACAAAAATCTTTTATCACTACAAAAACCACAAAAATGAATTTACTACTTAAAAGTTTACTAATTCACAGAATTATTGGAAATTATGTCTCAAGCCTTTGGTAAGTAAAACATGGAAGTTTTTATATGAAAATAGATGATAAATCGACAATATAAAAAAAATTAATCAGGTTGGGGTGTAGCAACATCTCCTAAAGGTTCATGAAAATATCTCAGAAGCCCTTCCTCTAACTCTGCTACCAAAACTTTTAATTTTTATTTTACAGTAAGGTTGTGAGGTTTTATCTCCCAAGGGATATTGTTATTAGCTGCTGTCAAGTTAGTTTCAACTCACGGTGACCCCATGTGTGCAGAGCAGAACTGCTCCATGGGGTTTTCACGGCTGTGACCTTTCAGAAGCAGGTCACCAGGCCTGTCTTCTGAGGCACCTCTGGGTGGAAGGGCTAACACCACATAAAAGGTAGAGTGCATCAGGAAATGATGACAAGGGAACTAACTGAGGTACTCTGCCTTCACTGCACACCATGTACAACACTAACCTCCTCTCTCTGGGGTACTACCCACAGCATGCCGCCCACCAGAAAACAGAAATGACAAGGAAAAACAAAGATGTGCAACCACTATGTCAAACAGAACTCAGCCTGGACATCTACTAGGCGTGCTTCACTAATCCATCTCTTTCTAACTGAAAAGAAAACGCCTGTGGGGACAGATGAGAAGCCGAGGGGACGGAAGAACAGAGATCTGGGTTGGTGTCGTGCACATCCATCTACAGGGCTGGAGAGTGAGGTACCCAAACCATGGGAAGGACTGATTCAAGAGTTGCAGATGGGAAGGCTACAGAGAAATAAGAAGGTGAGCGCACAGCTACATCAAACTCAGCAGTGAAGGTAAGAAAACGACTGAGGAGAGGAAAGAAGGAAATAGAGATGAAGAATGAGATAAACAGTGATCACCTGATGCACAAAGACGGATTCTATGCCAATCTTCAAGCCCCGAAAGTCGAAAAGTGAGAAAACTTTCAAAAGTAAAAACGACTTCCAAGGTTAGGTTGCAAATGAACTGCCACCTCCACCTGGCTGACCCTCTCTCCTTCATCTGCATCTGCCACCCTCTCACCAGCTCACTCAGATGAAGTCTCAGCCCAGCTGTGTGTCCTGAAGAGGCTCATGTGGCTGAACTGAGGGCAGCCTCGGTCAACAGCTCCTGGAACCAAGCAAGGCCCTTAGTCCAACGAATGCCGAACCCTGCCAATCATGTGTGTGTGTCTGGCATCAGATCCTGGGGGGACTCAAGGAAATCCAGCCACACTGCCACCACAATTGCAGTTCTGAGAGACACCTGAACAGAGGATCCAACTACGCTGCACCAGACTCCTGACCTACAGAGACTGTGAGGCGATAAAGAATGGCTCGGCAACCTCTCTTCTAGAATTTATCCTACAGACATGTGCAGGCACACATACAAGGGTGCCCCATGGGCATTGTTACAACAGCATAAAATGTAACACTGGATGAAAAGCGTGGTACCCAAGGCACCAGTATAAACCAACACTAACTAAAACTAAGTATCAGTATACTAACTTAATTCCATATTATTTTATATGCTATATTATTTCTCAGAGTGAGTCTAGGCAACTGGAGGGCAGACGGCACGTCCACTTAGGTGCACAGCAGAGTATTCTCTGAGTATGGATCATGGTAATGAAATGGATTAAGGAAATGTCAGGCATTTAGAGGAGGACTTCTGTGGCAAGGGCTCGGGCTGGGCACATCCCTGTGTGGCGTCAGGGGCACCAGGGACTTGTGACCTGCTCTGTAGGGACCTTCAGAGAAACTTGTCATTTGAAAGGAATAAAAGTGGCCCTAAAGCCTTAAAAAAAAGAAAAAAGCGAAAAGGACATTAAAGAAAAGAGTGTAGCTAGCCAACAACATCCTTCCTTGGACAGACAGCTGGTGTGCTAGTGCCTTGCAAACAGGAGACTCACACTATGTGTTACGTCCACCTCACCTGTAAGGGAGGGGTGCCAACAGGAGCTCTCCACACCTAAACGTGAACCCTGCCACAGACCACACCACACACTCAGCCTGCCAGGATGTCCGCAGTCCTGGTGACCTCCGTTCACCCCAACGTGAACCTCATCGCAGACTACACCACACACTCAGCCTGCCAAGACGTCCACAGCCCTGATAACCTCCGTCTACACAAATATTAACCTTACCACAGACCACACCACATACTCAGCCTGCAGCCACAGCCACAGTCCTAGTGACCTCTGTCCACCCCACCGTGAACCTCACGCAGACCACACCACACACTCGGCCTGCTAGGTGTCCACACCCTGGTGACCCCCGCCTCTGGGTCTCTCATGGCTCCTTCCTGCACCGACCTAAACTCTTCCTTTTTAACACACAGGATCTTTTAGTTCCACTCACTGTTCGCTCTGAGGTTTAAACCATCTAAGAATTAATACCCCAAAATTATGCACCACACAGCTATCTGTTCAAAGAAAGCTCTGGAAAATAAAACAGATCCTAGCGCAAATAGGTTCTAACTATTAGAATTCTTTGGTCAAATGAAATATTTGACAGTGCAACATAAAGCAATTAACACAATTCTTATTTCAGACAAAATATGACTTCACCTACAGACACTGAAATGTACCTTAGCAAAACAGACGGAATATACAAAAATCTAGATTTGTCTTCAGTATCTATAATCCTTATGCAAGAGTGTTAAAATTTTAAATACATGTCTCCAACAGTTTCCTTCAGATTCACAAGTTACTTGCAATCAGGCTAAATGTTAATAACTGGCATATATAGGTTCTAAAATATATTAAAAATGCATCAACCTTTTCCACTATGATGAGGTCTCCAACTTGTATGTCTGAACTCTTAACTTGCACTTTACCTTAAAAAAAAGAAGAAGTATAATCAACTTAAGAAAACATTAGCACACCAGATTTTAACTTTCAATTGATAATAATTACTTTAGAAATAACTTTGGGGAAGAAAAATACTCCAGAAATTTCTCTATTCTCTATTCTTAAACTTTCAAAATAAACATTTTAGATAGACATGTTCACTAATAATTTATTTCTTACAGTAGATTACCAAGTACAGATAATTAACTATTCCTCCAATTAAAAAAAAAAGACACAGAGAAAGAATTCCTTTATGTTAATTAAAAAGAGGATTTCATTGTCTCCGTTGAGTCAGCAAATGATAAAAAATATCATTAAGTAGGATAATGATGACTGAAACTGAATAACAAAGATGTAAAAATCCATTAAAATTCATACTGTGAATGGCATTGATTGGCACATAACTGACCAAAGAAAGAAAGAAAGCAAATTATATATAAAATCACCCTTGCTAGTAGCTTTACAGATGCAGGTAACGACTGAAAACTTATATGATACTTCAATGAAAATGCAAGTATTTAAATGTAGTATTATTTTTTCTTAAAAATATTCTACTTAATTTATTGTCAGGTACACACTCAGGACGTCATACATTATTGGCCTTTTAGTTTTTCATAAAATAGTTAATAGTGAACATTACCAAGTAAGGTAACAACTAACTCTCTCTCTCTGAACTATTTCAATTATAACTGCCCATGAAATCCTTATTTCAGCAATAAATGTTCCCTGCCACCATGCTTCAAAAGTATAAGAGCTTAAGTGTTTTTTCCTCATAGAATAAAAGCATTCACCTGACTCACTCGCATGAACCTAGCTGCCTGGCCCCTCAGAAGAAAGATCAAAAAGTGATTCCAAGAACTACTCACTCCTATGCCAAAGCTTCTTGAGCATAAATGCTTCCCATCACCCTCACGGCCGCTCATTATCTTTTGCCTATATAAACAGCATATACTACTAACTGGTCTCCATTAGTATCACCTCCCTAATGCAATCTGAATACCAAATGAAGTAGCTGAAAAAACTAAGAGATTATGTTTTACCTCCACCCAAAAACCTCTATCATTTGCCAATTATTCAGAAGACAATTAAAATTTTTATCACTACATACAAGTCCTTCGCAAGTGATCCCAAATTGACTTTTATGCCCTATCTACTGCCCATATTTCCTTCCGTCCTGCCCTACCTTCACCAAGCACCTTACCCTGCAAGCTACAGCTCTATGCTTAATCTTACAAACTCCCTGCACTTGCTGCTACTTTTTTTTTCCTTTAATTGTGCTTTAAGTGAAAGTTTACAGTTCAAGTCAGTTTCTCATATAAAAATTTATACACACATAGCTGCTCTCCCTATAATGTGACAGCACACTCCTCATTTCCGCCCCGGATTTCCCACATCCATTCAACCAGCTCTTGTCCCTTTTTGCCTTCTCATCTCGCCTCCGGACAGGAGCTGTCCATTTAGTCTCATGTATCTACTTATGCCAAGAAGCACACACTTCACGAGTATTATTTTATGTCTCTTAGTCCAGTCTAATCTTTGTCTGAAGAGTTGGCCTCAGGAATGGTTTCAGTTCTGGGCCAACAGAGAGACTGAGAGCCATGTCTTCTGGGGTCCCTCCAGTCTCAGTCACACCATTAAGTCTGGTTTTTTTACTACAATTTGAGTTCTCCACCCCACTCTTCTCCTGCTCCATCAGGGACTCTCTGTTGTGTTCCCTGTCAGGGTGGTCACTAGTGGTAGCCAGGCACCATCTAGTTCTTCTTCTGGTCTCAGGCTGATGAAGCCTCTGGTTTATGTGGCCCCTTCTGTCTCTTGGGCTAATATTTTCCTTTTTGTCTTTGGTTTTCTTCACTCTCCTTTGTTCCAGGTGGGTTGGGACCAACTGATGCATCTTAGATGGCAGCTTGCTAGCTTTTAAGACCCAGACGCCACACACCAAAGAGGGATGCAAACATCTCTTAATAAACTTTGTTATACCAATTGACCTAGATGTCCCTTGAAACCATGGTCCCCAGACCTCCGCCCTTGCTACTCTGTCCCTCGAAGTGTTTGGTTGTATTCAGGAAACTTCTTAGCTTTCCGTTTAGACCAGTTGTGCTGACTTTCCCTGTATTGTGTGTTATCCTTTCCTTCACCTAAGATAATTCTTGTTTACTATCTAGTTAGTCAGTACCCATCTCCCTCCCTCCCCACCCTCATAACCATCAAATAATGTTTTCTTCTGTGTTTAAACCATTTCTTCAGCTCTTATAATAGTGGTCTCATACAATATTTGACCTTTTGCAACTGACTAACTTCACTCAGCATAATGCCTTCCAGATTCCTTCATGTTATGAGATGTTTCGCAGATTGTTCATTGTTCTTTATCACTGCGTAGTATTCCATTGTGTGAATATACCATAATTTGTTTATCCATTCATCCGTTGATGGGCACCTAGGTTGTTTCCATCTTTTTGCTATGGTGAACAGTGCTGCAATGAACATGGGTATCTATGTATCTATTTGTATGACGATCTTATTTCTCTAGGATATATTCCAAGGACTGGGATTGCTGGATCGTATGGTACTTCTATTTCCAACTTTTTAAGGAGGGGCCAAATCAATTTCCAAAGTGGTTGTACCATTTTACATTCCTACCAGCAGTGCGGAGGTGTTCCAGTCTCTCCACAACCTCTACAACATTTATTATTTTGTATTTTTTGGATTAATGCTAGCCTTGTTGGGGTGAGATGGTATCTCATTGTAGTTTTGATTTGCATTTCTCTAATGGCTAATC